CGTACCCAGACCTCCGCCGTTTCTGAACACACCCACGAGAACGGCCACTATCCTATCTGGAATGAGGTCATGTTTATTGATCAAGATCCTTTCTGGTACACCCATAGGGTCAAGGAAGCTATTCACATAAGACTTCACCCTAATAACATCAACAGGGATAGTGGAATTGAAATTCCTGAAGCATGGATGCCCACAATCAAAAAACACAACAACAGGAGAACAGTACAACAGCGGACCACTGAGGGAACAGCTACTCGTCAGAACAATGGAACAAAAGGAGGATCGAAATGCACCAATCACAGCCGACCTTTGTGGTATAAATGATACCGTGCAATCAGTCAACCTTATCGCCTGAAGAAGACTAGCAGTGAGCAGTCGAAACATTGCGATCTACATCTCAAGTGACCACATTGTGAGACAAACGATAATACACTTTATTATTGCATCTATCACGATGAATAACAACAGCCTTTTCCTCGACATAAGCATATGGTGTGTCTTATCCCATGTTGTAAATGGTTTATTTGGGTGAAAAGTCAATTTCTAGAAAAATCTGTGAGACATTTTAAATTTAGGTTCATGTCATTTAGAAATTACTGAATTACCGTTTTTGGAAGTGTCTTTGGCTTGTTTAACAAAGAGTTGTTCATCTACTGTTCATAAACACTCACATTTTCCCAGTGGGGAGGGGTTCTCCCATATGAAAAGGTATTTGATGCTTGTTAGAAAATTTGAATTAAACCTATAAAGGAGACCAGTTCGAGGATGGTTTGAGCTTTCTTCAACCCCTTCAAAGATACCGCTTAAAACAGAAATTTCCTAATTACAGTATATACCTCTTACTAACCGAGTTCGAGGTCCGTACTGTAAGTTACGGACCAAGTTTTTTTCCCCTTCGATTTATGGCCCAAGCGTGAAGCGTGCGGGTCATAAATCGAAGGGGAAAAAAAACAAGGATCCATAATTTACAGTACGGACCGAGAAGACAAGGTTAGTAAGATATTTATTTTATCTCTACTGTGTCCCTGACGGGTTTACGCAGACTCAGAAATGCTTCAAATTTCTGACGCACCTCGAAACCAAAACAAGTCAGTTTGAAACTGTTTTTAAGTCGTTAGCACTCCTTGTTACATAATTTAGAGTATAAGAAAGTTTTAAACTTTCACTTGCTATTAAAGTTAAAGAACACTTAGCGATAGATCACAAAACAGTTTGGCAACAAAACCAACTTTAGCAGCCCACTAAATTGACCAATCACAGCTCGTGTACTAACTGAGAGATATAATAATGTTTGTTACTTCTCCAAGTGCACCCTAAAATACTTTGAGGGCTCTAAATAGATATGGTGTTTGGTCCTTCGCACCCAAAACACCCCTAAGCAAGAAAGAGCATCTCAGAACCTTTTCATATGGGATTCCCCCTTCCCTCTGCATCTCTGGGACATTTTCAGGCCCAGATTTTACCATCTCAGTATAGTTGTAGGGATGTGGACAAGAAGAAAATAAGAAATTCCTTCAACTACCTCTCCAGATTATGTTGTTAGTGTGATTCTAAATTTAAAATTTAATTTTTAACACCATGACTTTCTTTTACCGGCAATCCTCATTGTTGTTTTGACTCGGTTGATTTTTTTTCTCAGGCACAATTTTTGCATATGGGCAGACAGGAACGGGTAAAACATTCACAATGGAAGGGGTGCGTACAGTTCCTGAACTGCGTGGAATCATCCCAAACTCATTTGCACATGTCTTTGGGCATATTGCTAAGAAGGATGGTGACATTAGGCAAGTGTTTATTATCACTACTGAAGCTTTTATTAAATGTAATTTTTATTGCATAAAATTTCTTCTTGAAGCCTTACTTACAATATTGTAGCAAGTGCTGCATTTGAGATTTTTTCCTTTGAGAAAAAATAAAACAAGATTTTACCACTTTCCCATTATCTTTTATGGTGGCCTGGATTGAGTGGTTACATTTTCAAGCCCCTGGCTAGGGTCACTGTGCTTTGTTTCCTCTCTCCACCCAGGAGGATAACTGCATCCCAGCAAATTTCTGTGTAGTGCTAAGAGGTAACTGGTCCTTACACTCTCTTCTCATCCAGGAAGGAGAATAATTTCTTACTAATTCCAACTGCTTCATGCTACATGTAACAGAGTTAAAAGCCAGGGCTGATCGATGAGTAAACAGTCTTAAAAGTTTACCTTATATTTTTACTTTCAATCATTTTATAGGTTTCTTGTTCGAGTCTCATATTTGGAAATCTATAATGAGAATGTGCGAGATCTACTGGGGAAGGATCAGAATGCAAAACTTGAGGTATGTTGCCTTAGCTGTTCTCAGAATACAGGAATACTGCAGCTATTTCAGCCACACCTCCTAGTACTCATTTTTCATGGTATTTTTACAGGTAGTCAGAAAGTTAATAGTGTTTTTTCTCTGCCGATGTTAGGTAAAGGAGAGGCCGGATGTTGGAGTTTATGTAAAGGATTTGTCATCATATGTAATGAACAATGCAGATGATTTAGACAAGACAATGACACTAGGAAACAAAAACCGTAAGTATACAGCATGTGTTCATTCAACGGCCAAACCAAATGAAATATCTTATGTGGTAAATTAGAGATGCCCCCTTTTTCTGTGAGAGTCTTTGTTTCAATTCACTGTGAGTTATAAATCATGATTTAAAAAGACCAGTTGACCAGCATGCATAACTGATTTAGATCCTTGTATAATATTTTTAACTTTGAAAACCTGAGCAAGTTAAAGTGCCTATGAAGTAAAAAATAATTGCTGCTTATTTGAAAGGCTTTTCAAAGTAAAGAAGAATGGCGTTTTCCTTTTTGGAATATCTTTTTTCGTTTCAGAGATATTTACGTTTTTGTAAGAAAAGTGATGACATCATAGGTGGTTCCACTAAAACAGCACAACNCCTCTGTCCCACTTTAAAAGGTTGCAAATGGGGATATTTGGTTTTTCACAGAAAGAGACTGGAGCCAAGAGTGTTGCCATGGCAACAACATAGTAGGTCCCATTCTGTTTCCTTTGTGATGTACATTTCTGGTGCCAAGTTTGAAGAACACTGCTCTAATATTTCTAGAGTTATTCTCGATTGAGTGTTGTGCTGTTTTAAAGGAACCACCTATGACGTCATCATTTTCCTCATTTGCATAACACAAAATCATACATATCTCTAAAACGAAAAAAGATATTCCAAAAAGGAAAACACCATTCTTCTACTTTAAAAAGCCTTTCAAATAAGCCGGAATTATTTTTTACTTCATAGGCACTTTAAGTTTTATTTGTGAGTTCTTGCTTGATTATAGGTTCTGTTGGGTCTACAAACATGAATGAACGATCTTCCCGTTCACACGCAATCTTCACCATCACTGTTGAATGCAGTGAGAAAGGACCTGATGGTCAACACCATGTCCGCATGGGAAAACTGCATCTTGTTGATTTGGCTGTAAGTTTAAAACATCGTGCTCGCTTAGTTATAATGGATATGTTTTGAAATGTTTTAACAGACAGTTACTGGAAAGCATTGTTCTTTATACAAGTCAAGATCAAATTAATGAACTAATGATGATAAGTATAGTATTAGTAGATGGATTGATAACACAGCATTATTATTCTCATTGCAAGAGTGCAATGAGATTGACAAGTAATCTATCAAACATGAGAGACCATATTTGAGCACGTCTCCAAACACTGAGAAAAGAGCTGAAAATATGATGTGCAACAGAGTATTAACAACTGCATCGCAAAATGGAGGCTGGGTGCCTGTGATATCCAGGAGCTTCCACTATTGGCAGCNATGTATGAAACGCCGCTGACTCCAGACAACACTGGCGCTCTTTGTTGTTAACTCCGTTAAATTGCATTTAACTGCATTTTTTGACAAACTTTGAGGTGTTTGAAAATGTGGTCAAACACTCTTTTGAGTGTTTGATATACCTTAATCAAAACTAAAACTAAGGAGAAAACAGAGGAATAAAATTGTAAAAATCTATACTGATTAAGATCAGATAATTATCCAAACAGCCTCAAGGTCATGATTTCCTTTGTTCAAATATTGATGATTTATTAATGAGCTTGAGAAGCAATTTTCTTCTATCATATGAAGGCTTAGATTTAAGCTTTACCTTAGTTGCTGTGCGGTTGTAACTTCAGACCAAGCTATTTTTGTCTCTTTTCTTCTTCTAACATACACTGTAGGGATCAGAAAGACAGGCCAAGACAGGTGCAACAGGTCAAAGGTTGAAGGAAGCAACACAAATCAACCTGTCCCTCTCCACCCTGGGGAATGTTATATCTGCCTTAGTAGATGGAAAGAGCACTCATATTCCATACAGAAATTCTAAGCTCACAAGACTGCTTCAAGACTCTCTGGGTGGAAATTCCAAGACAGTCATGGTAAGTCAGCTAATGCATGGTTATGTCATGTTGTCAATAAGTATGGGTTATTGACCAAGTGTGAGGTCAAGATGGCTGGATATTGGCTAAGTTCTTTTTTTGCGTGTTTATGGACTGAGACGGAGTCGAGG